AGGTTAATTAATGTTTAATGGGTGCATTATTCATTGGTAGTTCATGTTAACTAATGCATTGATTAACATTAACTAATGCACCCTCAATGTATAGTGTTACAGATTTTTTTCTGTAAAAAAGGCCAACTTTAAGTAAGAGTTTATTCAAAGTTTCTCTTTATCTGCACACACACTTGACTGTATTTGAGTTGTTGACATGACTTCTTTTTCACTGTCACACATGGCAAAAATGAATATAATTTGTATTGTCTTTAATTAATATGCAGTAAATGGTTAACATTTCTTTTTCTTCCATTAACCTCTTGTTATAATAATTTAATTAGTTGAAGGACTCATTCAAGATCATGTGACTGAAGCCCCCTGTGAAACCCGTGATGTGCCCCTATTAGATATAAGAATGGTACATATTTCACATACTTTTATTGAAACACTATGATGTTATTAAGTTTTGACAATCCAGTTTAATGAAAATGTCCAACAGGTCTGACAAGTCATTGGGAAAAGATTGGTCATAATTTCATCTAAACTAAATAGCACTCTATAAAGATAAGTGTTTTCCCAGAGATGGGTTGCAGCTGCAAGGGCATGTGCTGCATAAAAACCTGCTGGATAAGTTGGCGGTTTATTCCGCTGTGGCAAACCCCGGATTAATAAAGGGACTAAGCCGGCAAGAACATGAATGAATGAATGAATGAATGACAGATAAGTGTACAAAAAATAAGATAAATCCCTCTCAGGCTATTTGTATATTATTGAGAGTCGCTTTTCTTTATTTTTACTACTGTATGTCATACCATATGATACATTTTACAGTACAGTTCAGTAAAAAGTAAACAAAAAAGTGAAAGTGAAATAATTGTTAAAATTGCTGACCCCTTATATTTTCTCCAACATCAAACTTAAAACTACATAAATAAAATCTATTTTACCCCCCAAACGACAAAAACTTAAGCACTTTATGTTTAGAAATTGAACTGATGTCATAATTGAGAAAATAAAATTATTATTAACTAAACAAAACCAAATATATTAAGCAAAAACAGTTTTAATTGAAACTGGGTAATGCATTAAAATAATATAAGAAAAAGAAAAAATACAAGACAAGACAGAGTAATAACCACAGTTAGATTACATGGCAGAGAGCAAAGAAAAAAAAAAGAAAATGGCAGATTATTTTCTTTGTGCAATAGATTCAACATATTTTTTTCCTGCACAGAAACATGCATTTACCATTTAAAGTAGAATTGTGCAGTACAGTATAACATGACTGGATGAAAATCTCTTTATTCTGTAGTTCCTGCATGTTGAAGATCACGTTCTGGTTGATGTTCACAGATGTCCAGTCCCAATGTATGCATTATTAGGTTTATTTATACACTGTACTCCATCCTGTTAAATAAAAACAGAAGAAAATCTGTGGCTTTGTGCTTGATATGCCAATATACAATGCTCAGCATATACTATTACACCCCACGCAAATCTATCTTTTAAATTAATATTTTTAATAGGATGCTTTACAATATATATCAGTTTGGTCAGTACTGAAGCCAAATCTCAAGCTAGTCTAACAAAGTAACGTACTATAACACTCCATAAACTCATACACCCATATTTATCTATTTGAGAAAAATATTAAATACAGTCTAAGAAACCAAAATATATCAAATTTAGTTGAAATTTTGTAGTTTTAATTTTTATTTAATTTTTATTTGTTATCTTTCTAATTCTAAAGATGTTTAGTGACAAAAATATTATTTTTATAACTGTTTTTTATTTTTATAAAATCTATTTTGGTCAAATGCACCAGAATTTATTACCTATATTTACTGAGAAATGTATAAGAACATTCATTTTCAGAAGTGGGTGTACTCATTTATGCTGAGCTCTGTACGATTGTTTGGATAAACCTATAAGAGGTTTTTGTATTTTATTAAATTACAACGGTTCCATATTACAGTATCTGTAAGTTCTAACCTCTTCTAGACATTTTATTCTTTCACTGAGCCACGGAGCTGTCAGATCTATGCAGTACATCCTGTTCATGTCATCAACGAAACTGTAAAGATTAAATAAAAATACATTTACAAATACATCTACTGCTCTTTGACCAGGAGTTATTAAGCAGATTACATTTTGAAAGCTTTTGGACTGACTTACAGCACACACTTAAGACAGTCACTTGTTTCTTGAAGGAAGTAACAGCTATTTATTTTGATCTGTGGTTCATTTGTTGTAAGTGTCTTGCAGCAAACTGGTTCTTTAGGGTCCGAATCAGTGGCTGCAAATCAAACAGAAAAGAAACCTCCAGAAATAAAATACTTACTAATTTTAGCTTGATTTGAGGACTTCAGCTGTATAAGCACTAAAGGCCCATTCACATCAAGGCAGATCAGGATAAAGATACAGTCCGAAAAATCATTTAAATGATGAGCTCACATCAAAACTCTAATAATAGCAGCAAAGAGAAGCTAAAGTATCTACATTGAAATCAAAATGTGGATCAACATTGTCCTAAGACACAAATATGTGTTGTCCACTTCCAGATGTTGACTACTATATTGCAATTAAATGACTGTCAGAACACTTTAATTCTACACTGTTAACAATTTTAGTCAATAACACAGAATTGAACTGTAATATGAACTGTATTTTACTGCAGGACAGTTATAAAGTATTTTATTGTGTTTTAAAATTGCATTGTAAAAACGACAGGATATTTTATAGTAAAGATATACAATACTATAATACATATACAGTCAGATAAATGGTGCTGTAAATGTAAATGCAGTATATTTACTGTAATTGATTTACAGTAAATTACTAGCAAGCTGCTGCCAGTATGTTAATGTAGATTCTATAGGAAATTGTTTACAGTGTTTACTGATGAATAATAAACATTGACAGTTTAAGGTTTTAGAAGGCTAAAAAAACTGCAGCATAAGTTTATAATAAACAGAACAATATGTAATTCACTGATTTCAGAATTAATATAGTCATATATTATTATACTTACCATCCTGGGTGAGAACAGGGTGCGCAACCTGCAAAAGATGATCTATAAAAAAAATAATAAAATGTGAAAATACTTAAAGTGAGATCAATTTGCTTGAATATTAAAGTGACATTCGATCATTAGGTCAATGTTTCTTAACCCACTGGCAAATTAATTTATGGAGTAGAACATAAACCTTTTTTTCTAAAATGATAATATACAATATATATATATATATATATATATATATATATATATATATATATATATATATATATATATATATATATATATATATATATATATATATATATATTTGCATGCAGTAAAGTATACTCACCTCCTGATGTAAAAGCACACAGGAGCAAAAGCAAAGCAGACGAAATGATCATTTGATAAGAAGCTGAGAACAGACGCATGATGGCTGAATGATTTCACGAATGATCTTCTGCTTCTGATCCACTCTTGCTATTTATTTGACCAGGAGGAGGAAGGGTTGTCTTTTTTCGTAATTCACAAGAATTATGTGAATGGAAAAACATGGATGATCATTCCGGGTAGTCCTTACTCCATAGTGAAATAGCCAAATGTACATTTTTGTCTTGTGACAAATCTAGAATTTGCAATCATCATGTGTAGGGATTCTGAAATGTGTCTTCGGACAAGCCTCAAACTGGAATGTGGAAAGGAATGTAAAATAATGGGACTGAACTAGAGGCCTGCATTGACAGCAATATTTGATAGGTGAATATGTGTGTGGGCTGCGGGAGCATAACTGACGGTGTCCACATGACTTCTACCAAATGATTAAATTACACAAGCTTAAAGACATCAGCAATACAATAAATAAGGTGACATTTGTGTTTGCTAAGCTCAACACAAATGTTGTGGTTGTGTTAACTGTGTTTTAGGTTATCCCATAAGAAGGTTTTTTTTTTGGTTGATGGCAAAATGTGTGTTTTATGTGATAACATCAAAAGAAGAACAAAGTTAAACGAGAATCAAAAATGCATGTGATATTAGGATTGTTTTGAGGAAATTTACATACAATTTTTTCTAAATATTTGCATTTAGTCAGATGTATAAAAAACAAACAGTTTTCCATTAACAAGAAACCTAAAAATACATGTGCACAGCATAAAGTTTACATTTATTAATTTAAAAAAGGGCTTTTATCTAGTGAAACTAGAATGAATGGGGATAAAAGAAGCACATAAGCAACCCATCAGTGGACAGAGATACAATAATAGGCACTATTTGAATGACTTACTACAAGATTAAGGCAATAAATCTGTTAAGAAACATGTTATAAATAAGTCAGATTTGAGATGAATTTTAAAGGTCTGAAGTGTGAAAATTATCCAGAGACTTTGTAGTTCATTCCGAAATGTGGCAGCAAAGGCACAGAAAGCCCTACCACCCACACCAGTTAGCCAGAATTTGGGTACTGAAAGCAAATTCTCAGAGCTTGATAGGAAGAAATGTGCTAAACTATCATGGGTATAAAAATTAAACTCTAAAACTGAATACAGTAATGGGGAGTTAATGTAAATCAAGATTTTTGCTTGTAAAATTGCTGCAAAGATGGACTAATATTCGCTGTTTAGTTAATGTAAGTTCATGAGCAGCTAAATGTTTACAGTACCTTTGAAATATAAAAAAGGTTGTGACCTGCCAATATTGTCGAGTTTGACTTCTTGTCTTATGTATCTGAGGTTTAAATAAATACTTTTTTCGTTTGCAACCAAATTAACAGTTAATATTACAATATTACAAAGGTGAAAAAACATGATTTGATTTTGATTTGATTGATATGGGATTTAAAATGTAGATTATACAGTAGTTCAACAAAACTATATGTAAAATAGAAGAGGGATGAACTATAGCTCATCTATCATAATGGAGTAGTCAGTTTGGGAAGAGACTTGAGATTTAGAAACACCTGCTAACACCATATGAAGTTAAGTTTCCAACAATGAAGATAAATCACTCTCATGCTATTTGTGTATTTTTATAAGTTGTTTTTCTTTATTTTCGCTATGTCAAGTCAAAGGACAACTTTTACAGTACAGTTTAGTAAAAAGTAAACCAAAAAGCTTTTCTCAAATCTATTATATCCCAGCACAGAATTGTGTGTTTACAGTTTAAGGCAGGAATATGTTGTAAAGTAACACTACTGGATGAAAATCTCTTTCTGGTGTAGTTCCAGCATAGTGAAGATCAAGGTCTGAGTGAAGTTCTCCGATGTCCAGTCCTAATGTGCTTTTGTTTTTATACACTTTACCCCATTCTGTTGAATGAAAACAGAAGACAAACTGTGGCTTTGCGCTTGATATGCCAATATACAGTGCTTAGCATATATGAGTACACCCCACACAAATCTATCTTTTAAATGAATATTTTTTAACTTGACGCTTTACAATATATATTTGTGCATATACAAGAGTTTGGTCAGTACTGAAGCCAAATCTGGAGCTAGTCCAACAAAATAACTTACAATAACTGTCCAAAACTAGTACACCCACATTTATATGTTTTGGAAAATTATTAGATCAAATAAAAACAGCAAAAATCGAGAAAAAAACAAACAATTTATGAAATTAAAATGTTGTAGTCTGTATTTTTTATTTATTTAAATGTATTATCTTTCTATTCTTACAGATGTTTGGTGAAAAAAATAAAAAAAAAATAAATAAATAAATAATAATAAATTATATATATATATATATATATATATATACAGTTGAAGTCAGAATTATTAGCCCCCCTGAATTATTAGAGTTTATTTATTCCCCAATTTCTGTTTAATGAAGAGAAGATTTTTTTCAACACATTTCTGAACAAAATAGTTTTAATAGCTCATTTCTAATAACTTATTTTATCTTTGCCATATTGACAGTAAATAATATCTGACTAGATATTTTTCGAGACTGCTTAAAGCAACATTTAAAGGCTTAACTAGGTTAATTAGGTTAACTATGCAGGTTAGGGTAACTAGGCAAATTATTGTATAACAATGGTTTGTTCTGTAGACCATCTGAAAAATAATTAGCCTAAAAGGGCAAATAACTTGTCCTTAAAATGGTGTTTAAAAAATTAATAACTGCTTTTATTCTAGCCAAAATAAAACAAATAAGACTTTCTCCAGAGAAAAATGATCAGAGATACTGTGAAAATTTCCTTGCTCTGTTAAACATAATTTGGGAAATATTAAAAAAATTAAAACAAATTCAAAGGCAGGCTAATAATTCTGACTTCAACTGTATATAACCTATTTTGTTCAAAAGCACCATAATATGTTACTTATATTTATCGAGAAATAGATAAAAATATTAATTTTCAAATTGGGGTGTACTCATTTATGCTTGCATAAACCATAAATACATTTTTCTATTCTATCAAATTATAATGGTTCCATATCACTTATTTTATCCACAGTTTAAAAAAATTGTAATCTGTTTATTCTCACCTCTTCTAGACGCTTTATTCTTGCCTCAAGCCATGGAGCTGTCGGATCTATGCAGTGCATCTTGTTCTTTACATCAATGAACCTGTAAAGATGAAATAAAAATACATTTACAAATACATCAACAACTCTTTGACCAGGAGTTATTAAGCAAGTGACTTTTTAAAGTATTTAGACTGACTTACAGCACAGACTTAAGACACTTGCTTATTTCTTGAAGGAAGTAACAGCTATTTATTTTGATCTGTGGTTCATTTGTCGTAAGTGTCCTGCAGCAAACTGTATCTTTGCGGTCGAAACGAGCTGCAAATCAGACAGAAAAGAAACCTCCAGAATTAAAAGACTTTGCCATGATTTCAGGACTTCAGCTGTATAAACACTAAAAGCCCATTCACATCAAGGCAGATCAGGATGAAGATACAGTTAAAAAAATTTTTTTAAATAATGAGCTCACATCAAAACTCTAACAATAGCTGCACAGAGAAACTACAGTAGTCTACATTTAAAGATTTAAATATGTTTTAGGAAAACTTTTATGAAAGGTTTTTAGATCCACTTCAAATGTTGACTATACTGTACAGCAATTGAATGCCTGTCAAAACAGTTATATTCTAATAAATAACAAAAATATTGATAGTTTAAAGTTTTAAAGGGATAAAAAGCTGCATCACAAGTAATTAATAAACAGAACAATATGTAATTCACTGATTTCAGAATTAATATAGTCATATATTATACTTACAATCCCTGGTGGGAACAGGGTACGCAACCTGCAAAAGATGATCTATAAAAATAATAAAATGTGAAAAACCTTAAAGTGAGATCAATTTGCTTAAATATTAAAGTGACATTAAATCATTAGGTCAATAAAACAGACTTTTTTTCTAAAAGGATAACAAATAAACATTTGTTTTTGCATGCAGTAAAGTTTACTCACCTCCTGATGTAAAAGCACACAAAAGAAAAAGCAAAGCGGACAAAATGATCATTTGATGAAAAGCTGAGGACAGACGCATGATTGCTGAATGATTTCACAGATGATCTCCTGCTTCTGATCCACTCTTGCTTTTTATTTGCTCAGAAGAAGGAAGTATTGTCTTTCTTCATACTTCACAAGAATTAAGTGAAAGCAAAAATATGGATAATCATTCCGGGAAGTTTCATAATCTTTGCTTCGAAACCCACTGGCGTTCCTTATTGAGAATCACATTAGTGGTCTTAAAAATAGACGAATGCCTGTAAAGTACCCTCTGTTTTGTTTTAGTAAAATCAGTCAAGTTTTTGTTTCATACATTTTTCCTGTATTGTTTAGAATTTGGAGAGGGTTTGTGGTAATAATTATTGTTTATGCAGTAATTAACATTCACTTTCTCCCATTTTGTCATTTTTAATGTCTATTATTTTTATTATTATTGCAGTATTCCCTGTTAAAACAGAGACTGTGCCATTCAAAATCAAAAGGCAGATTAGCATCATCTAGTTATAACAAAAAGAAAAACATAAAAAAAGAAAAACATAAAATGATATGGTGTAACCACTAGGTTCTAGTATTACTATCTAGGCATGGGACGATAACTGTTTTCAAGATATACCATGGTTTGGACAAGTCAGTGTTTTAAAACCCCTAAAATGTTCTGTCATTCCATTCCCACTATATTTCTAAGATTTTTTTTTTTTTTTTTTACATTATTAGGGCAACAGTATCTCCAGCAGAAAAGTTATCCAAAGATGTTGTTTTAAATTGTAAAGAAATTTGTGTTTATGAAACTAATGAAGACAGCAAAATCAAATATGTTGACTGCGTCCGAATTCACCTACTACTCAGTCGGTACAGCTTTCAAATTTGAATTTACTACACGACCTTTAGAAAAGTACGTTCTATACAGTATGAATGTAAGTAGTATATGAACTTAGATGTACTACGGATGCCATTTTGTCATCAGCATGTGACATATCCTCTTCACTCTCATTAATGAATTCTATTGTGGTGCATCATGGGAGAGCATACTGTAGCGTCTATCGGATGCACACTTCAGAATCTCGCCTCTATTAAACTCTATTATAGATTGTCTCACAATCCTGCTGGTTTTTAGTGCATAATAACCCGCCGCTGAACTGCGTGAAGACTAGGTGAGTTAGACAGGTGAAGTTCCGTAAGGCAGGCGCTGATAGAGGGGTGTATTTGCTCGCATTTAGTATACTTTGTAACGTTTGTTGTCACTTCACTTTCCTTTGCATTATCTTTCTATTTTGTTATATAGTTAATTTGCGGAAGTTTGTATTTTGCTGTTGGATGATTAAGATTTGACGCAGATTTGATTTTTTTGCTTATTTGTTATTAATACTTTGACTGCGCATTTTTCAATCTTATTATGGAGTTTAGTTTAGATGAATTTGTTGCTCATCCGAGCATAGAGAAACTTGAACAGTGTACTAAAAGTAATCTGTTCTCTATTGCTGCTCACTTTGATTTACCACTCTCTAAACAAGAGAAAAAACAGAAAATTAAAAATGAATTGCATACAGCCTTATGTGAAATGAGTATCCTTCCTCCTGTTAGTGCTGTCACTTCACGTGCTGATGTGCAGCCTGACTCTGAATTGCGTAGACTTGAGTTGCAAGTAGAAATACGGCGATTGGAGCTCAAGGAAAAAGAGCTAAAGCATGAATTTGAGCTGCGTAAATTTGAGATACAGGAAATTGGAAGACGAGAATCTGCTCGTTTGTCTAGGCAGTCAAGGGATTTTGATCCGGAAACAGACTTTGACATTAATAAATGCATTTGTTTAATTCCTCCTTTTTCACAGAGATATGTGGACAAATATTTTGTACTTTTTGAACGAGTGGCTACGACATTGAAATGGCCTAAAGAAGTATGGACTCTTATTTTGCAATGTGTATTCACAGGAAAAGCCCAGGAGGCATTTGCTTCTCTTTCACCTGAATTAAGTTTAAAATATGATCAGGTGAAATCTGCTGTTTTAAGGTCTTATGAATTAGTACCCGAGGCCTATTGGCAAAAGTTTAGGCGTTATAAAAAAGCTGAAAGCCAAACTTACGTCGAATTTGGTCGTGAAAAAACTGTACTTTTTGAACGTTGGTGTTCTGCACAAGAAGTGAAAAATTTAGAACAGCTTCTTGATCTAATTCTAATGGAGGAATTCAAAAATTGTCTACCAGACAAAATTGCAACGTACTTGAATGAACAGAAAGTCACTAATGTACTAGATGCTGCGGTATTAGCCGATGAATATGTTCTGACTCACAGAGAGAGCTTTGAAAAGCCATCTTTCTCTCCGTTGCAGCGTAGTCCTGTCACGCACTTTCACACTGAGCACAGTGCTAAAGATGCGGCTAGGCCAAGGCCAGTAGGTGCTTATTGCAAAAAACGTGGTCATTTAATCAACAGCTGTTTTTTGTTGAATAAAAAGAGGCCTAAAACTGTGGCACTGGTAGAAAAAGTCTCAACATCAAACCTTTTTCAGTCTGGGTGTGTTGATTTGGAGATTTACTCACCATTTATAATGAAGGGAGTTGTTTCTGTGTCAGACAGTGATGTAAAAGTTCCTGTAACCATCTTGCGTGATACTGCTGCTTCTCGATCTATCATTCTACAAAGTGTGTTGCCTCTTTCAGATAAAACTTCGTTAAACTGCAATGAGATTGTTCAGGGATTTGGAATGAAACTTGTTAACCTGCCAATGCATTCTGTCCAGCTTGAGTCTGATCTGGTGTCTGGCCCAGTAGCAGTAGCAGCATGCACAGCTTTTCCAATAAAAGGAGTGGATTTTCTCTTGGGGAATGATCTTGCTGGGGGCAAAATCTTAGTGAATCCTGAAGTAACTGCTGTGCCCTTTTTGTCTGAAGGCCCAGATGAACTGCAGGTGAAGTATCCAACAGTGTTTCCTGTATGTGCTGTCACTCGGTCAATGGCTAAAGCTAACTTGATAGACTCTGATGGCTTGGAGGATAGTTTTATGATAGATCTTGACAGAGAACCTAAAGTAGACTCTGATAGTGGCCCTGTTCTGAGTTCTCCATCTTCAGTCTCTGATTTTACAGAGTTGGATGAAAAATGTGAAAAAACTCATCAGCTGACAATGTGCTAGAACGTTCCGAGCTGTCTGAGAGCTTTAGTGGGGTTCGTATGTCAAAAGAACATCTAATTTCTGAACAAAGGAGTGATGATTCGCTCGTTTCTCTGTATGAATTGGCTGTCCCTGAAGAGAAGCTTATCGACAATGTGTCTGGTTATTTTGTCAAAAATAACATTTTAATGCGCAAGTGGACGCCATCTTCTGTTTCTTTGCATGATGATTGGAGCACTGTAACACAAATTGTTGTTCCAAAAAAGCTCGAGGTGAAATACTCAGTTTAGCTCATGACAACCCCTTAGCTAGACATTTGGGTGTCACCAAAACCTATGATCGTATTTTGCATAATTTTTTTTGGCCAGGTCTATAACGGAATGTGAAGTGGCATTGTAGAACATGTCATACTTGTCAAATAGCTGGAAAGTCAAATCCACTGATTCCACCTTACCCTTTATATCCTATTCCAGCTGTAGACTCGCCGTTTGACCATGTCGTGGTGGACTGTGTAGGCCCATTGCCTCGTACCAAATCTGGCAGTAAATTTTTGTTGACCATTATGTGCGCTTCAACACATTTTCCTGAGGCCATACCCATGCGCAAAATTACGGCCGCGTCAGTAGTAAAAGCACTGACCAAGTTCTTCTCACTGTTTGGGCTTCCCAAGGTAATTCAAACAGACCAGGGGACAAATTTTATGTCTCGTGTTTTTAAACAGGTCACCAATCAGCTGAAAATATCCCATAACTTTTCAAGTGCTTACCATCCTGAAAGCCAGGGCACATTGGACAGATTTCATCAGACCCTTAAATCAATGCTTCGTGCATATTGCCTGGAGTTTGAAAAAGATTGGGATGAGGGTGTGCACTTGCTTTTGTTTGCAGCTCGAGGAGTGGTGCAGGAATCTACTGGCTTCAGCCCAGCAGACTTGGTGTTTGCACATAATATCTGTGGCCCTTTGAAATTGCTGCGAGACAATTGGTTGAATGAATCGGAACAAAAAAATATACTGGATTATGTTAGCTCTTTTCGGCTCAAGCTACATCGTGCATGTGATCTGGCTAAACAGAATTTAGCAGTTGCTCAATCCAGGATGAAAAACTGGTTTGATAAGAACAGTGTGGACAGACAGTTTAAGCCGTGGGACAAAGATTTGGTATTTTTACTGATTCCTGGCTGTAGCCTTCAAGCGAGGTAGAGTGGACCTTATGTCATTGAAAAAAGGGTAAGTGATAGGGATTATGTGGTTGCTACCCCCGACCGTGTTTGTCGTAGCAGACTCTGCCACATCAACATGATCAAACCTTATTATGATCGTGGGCAAATGATTCCTCATAGCTCTAAAAAAATAAAAACAGCTCCATCTATGCCTAACACTAAGTCTCAAGTGTGTTGCAGGTACAATCATTTTCCGGGTTGTCATCGGGTGCTGACAGTGTCATTGAGAACTCTGAGTCGCTGTCTGATCTTGAAGCTGGCGGCGACATTGAGAGTCCATCTGTGGCTACAGTTCAAGGATGTTTAAAAAATTCTGAGATGCTTGCTAATCTTGACTCTTGTTTTTTGCATCTTTCTGATTTACAGAGAACAGACATAATTAAATTAATTGTCATGTTTCCCTGTTTTCAGATGTTCTATCTCAGACTCATGTGCTGCAGCATGACATCGATGTTGGTGCTAATGCTGCGATTAAACAACATCCATACCGCGTCAACCCTGTGAAACGTCAGCGACTACAAAATCAAGTCAATTATATGTTGGCGCATGGTATTGCAGAACCTAGTATTAGCTCATGGAGTTCGCTCTGTCTTTTGGCTATGAAGTCTGATGGATCTGAACGTTTCTGCACAGACTTTAGAAGGGTTAACAGTGTCACAAAACCTGACTGTGACCCTCTTCCTCGTATGGAAGACTGTGTTGACCGTGTGGGGTCGGCTGTGTTTGTGACAAAGTTAGACCTTCTTAAAGGATTTTGGCAGGTGCCATTAACTCAACGTGCAAAGGAAATCTCGGCATTTGTTACACCTGATGCCTTCTTACAGTATACAGTAATGCCTTTTGGGGTACGCAATGCGCCCGCGACATTTCAGCGGTTAGTTAACTGCGTGTTGGGGGGAGTGCCAGGATGTGAAGTGTATCTAGATGACATCGTTGTTCATTCAACAACGTGGCAAGAACACATCCATCAGTTGACACAGGTTTTTGAGAAACTGACTGATGCCAATTTAACGGTTAACTTGGCCAAATGTGATTTTGCAAAAGCAATCTACTTGGGTAAGATTGTGGGCAGTGGCATGGTAAAACCAGTACACGCCAAGATTGAGGCTATCACGTCATTTCCAGTTCTTTCCACACGCCGTGAATTACAGCGCTTTCTGGGAATGGCGGGATATTACCGTAATTTTTGTAAAAACTTTTCGACAGTAGTTTCTCCTCTTACCGACCTATTAAGTCCGAAGTCGGTTTTTAAATGGTCACTGGAATGTCAACATTCTTTTGAGTCACTTAAACACCTTTTAATGCATGCACCCGTCTTGGCGGCTCCAGTGTACGACCATACATTCAAATTGGCTGTTGATGCTAGCGATGTAGGGGCAGGCGCTGTGCTATTGTAGGATGGGCTTGATGGAGTTGAGCACCCAGTGTGCTACTTTTCAAAAAAATTCCAAAAACATCAAAAAGCATACTCCACAATTGAAAAAGAAGCTCTGGCGCTGGTTTTGGCCCTTAACAATTTTGAAGTTTATATTGGATCTTCATTTCATCCAATAACAGTCTACACTGATCACAACCCTCTCATCTTTATTCATAGAATGCGTAATTCTAACCAACGCTTAATGAGATGGGCTTTGTTTGTCCAAGCCTTTAACTTGGACATGAAACATGTTGCCGGTAAAAATAATGTGCTGGCCGATGCAATGTCACGTATTACCACATGGTGATGGGTGGTGTTTATTGTATTTTTGTTTTGTTTACCAGTCACCATTTTGGGGGTGGAGGTGTTGCGTGTGTCGTTCACTCCTGCCCTTAATAATTACTTTCAATAGATCTTGTTTGTCTTTTTCCCTTTTCAGTTTTCTATTGGTTAATCTGGTGGCGTCAGGCCTTTAAAACGAAAGGAAGCGGACTTCAATGGCCCCTCATTCCTCCACGTCACCACAGTCTTTGACGGCTTTATTGTTGTGTTCTCCTTTATGCTTTCCTTTTGATAATTGTTTGGAGTGGGGAGCTCCAACCTGCTTTAGGTTTGTTTGGTTGTTCTTTATTATGTTGTTGGGCTCCCCATCTCTTGTCAATTTAGATTGTTTTGTTGCTTATGTTATGTTAATAAATAATTTAGCTGGAGCACTTTGGCCGTTGTTTATTCTGTTACGTTGTCTTTTGGTCACGAGTCTTAGTTAAGTTAGGGACCGTAACAACCACTATTAAACTTGCTGCAATAATGGCCTTCACATACAAAATGCCAACAAAGTCAATGAGATGTAGACCATTAGGTTGATTCTATCATTTTTTAAATTTCAAAACGCAAAATAATCTGGTTTAAAATGACAAAAGCCTACCAGAGGGTTAAATATGGGCATTTATGACAGTCATAATCATTGCTCCATATAGTAAAATTAGCCAAATGTACATTTGTTTGATGTGACAAATCAAGGATTTCCAATTATTATCATGTGCAGAGGTTTTCTGTAATGTGCCTTTGGACAAGCCTCAAACTGGAATGTGGAAAGGAGTGTAAAATAAGGGACTGAACTGGAAGCCTGTATTTGCACAGGAGTCTCGCAGGAGCTGATGCACCTGAGTGTAGTGCAGGACAATATTTCATAGGTGAATGTGTGTGTGGGCTGCATAACAGTATCCACAAGACTTACAAAATGAAGACATCACAGATAAATAATTGTTAAAGTTAGTGACCTCTTATATTTTCTCCAACATCAAACTTAAAACTGCATAAATAAATGTATTTTTCCCCCAGAAACTTAAGCACTTTAATAAATAGAACTGATGTCATAATTGAGAAAGAAATATGATGCTGTTAACAAACTAAATAAACCAAATTCATTAAGCAAAAACAGTATTTAATGAAACTGGGTAATGCATTAAAATAATGAAAGAACAATAAAAAAATTTGAAGACAAGACAAAGTGATAACCACAGTTAGACTACATGGCAGCAAGCCATTGCTTGTGCAATAGATTGAGCATATTTTTTTTCATACAGAATCGTGTGTTTTTACATTTTAAAGCAGGATTGTGTAGTACAGTATAACATGACTGGATGAAAATTTCTTTCCGGTGTGGCTGCAAGGTGAAGATCAAGATGTCCACTCCTATTTTTTAATGTACTGTACACTGTACTCCAATCTGTTGAATAAAAATAGTAGAAAAACTGTACAAAATAGTACTGAAGCCAAATCTGCAGCTTATGCAACAAAAAACTTACAATAACACTCCATAAACTAATACACCCAAATTTATATATAAGGAAAAATATTAAATACAAACTGTAAAAAGAGCAAAAATCAAGGTGACAAAAATGTTATTGTAAGAAATATATATTTTTAACAAATCTATGTTGTTAAAATGCATAATATATTACCTATTTACTGAGAAATGCATAAGAATATTCATTTTCAAAATGGGGTATACTTACTTATGCTGAGCTCTGTAAGATTGTTTACATGAACTCGTGAGAGGTTTTTGTATTTCATTCATTTTTAACTTTTCCGTATTATTCCTCATATTATCCACATTTTCCCCCCAAAAACCTAATCTGTAAATTCTCACCTCTTCTAGACGCTTTATTCTTGCATTGAGCCATGGAGCTTTAGGATGAATGCAGTGCATCTTGTTCATTTCATCAATTAATCTGTAAAGATGAAATAAAATACATTTACAAATACATCTGCAGATCTTTGACCAGGAGTTATTAAGTAGATTTTTTTTTAAGCTTTTGGACTGACTTACACCACACTCTTAAGACAGTTGCTTATTTCTTGAACAAAGAAACAACTATTTATTTTGATCTGTGGTTCCTTTCTTGTAAATTTCTTGCAGCAAACCATACCTCTAAGGTCCATAGGAGCGGCTGCAAATAGAAAAGAAACCTCCAGAAATAAAGGACTTTCCCATGAGTTCAGGACTTCTGCTGAATAAACACTAAAAGCCTATTTACATGATATCCGATCAGGATAAAGGAACAGTTTTAAAAATAATTTAAAACAATGAGTTCACATCGAAACTCAAACAATAGCAGCACAGAGAAACTACAGTAGTCCACATTTCAATTTAATCACTGTAAAAACATTTATATCCCAACTGATGATGAATAATAAAAAATAAATCAACAATTTGAGATTTTAGAAGGGTAAAAAACTGCAGCACTGTTATAATAAACAGAACAATCTTTAGTTTACTGATGTAAGCATCAATGTAGTAATATATTTCAATATACTTACATTCTGGTGGGGTAACAGGACTCATAACCGGCATAAAATAATCTATTAAAAGATTTTAAAATCCTTAAAGTGAGATACATTTGATTGAAAATTAAAATACAATTTTTTTAGGTAATTTTTTTTCTTAACCCACTGGGAAATTAATTTATGAAGTAAAACATGAACTTTTTTTCTAAAATGATAAACATATTTTTGCATGCAGTAAATGATACTCACCCCCTGATGCAGAAGCACACAGGAGCAAAAGCAAAGCCGATGAAATGATCAATTGATGAGAAGCTGTGGACAGATGCATGATTGCTGAATGATTTCTTGAATGATCTCCTACCTCTGATCCACTCTAGCTTTTTATTTGCTCAGAAGAAGGAAGTTTTGTCTTTCTTCATACTTTATAAGAATTAAGTAAATACAAAAACATGAATAATCATTCCGGGAAGTTTCAAAACATTTGCTTCTCAAAGATGGTTATCAGAACCAATGTTCTATAGTTACATTGAAACTTTTTTTTTTTTTTGATGTGACAAATCAAGCATTTGCAATTATCATCATGTGTAAGGATGTTCTGAAATGTGTCTAAGGCCTCAATGTGCATTTTAACAAAGGCCTTAGCCTCAAACTAGAATGTGGAAAGGAGTGTAAAATAAGTGACTGAACTAAAGGCCTGCATTCACACAGGAGTCTCGTGAGTCTTGCAGGACAATATTTGATAGGTGAATGTGTGTGTGTGTGGACTACAGGAGCGTAACTTTATCTAGGCCTTCTACAAAATGTATATATCACACAAGCTTAAAGGTGTCATGAAAAAAAAAACAAAAAAAAACAAAAAACGTAGATGTTAGTTTCAGTCTGTTAGACAAAGCATGCATTTAGAAAATGTGGGAGGTTGACCTGACCCAGTTAAAGCATGCTTTAGATTAAGAATAGGAGTGGACCAAGGACAGAAACTTGAGGTATACTTCTAGAAAAAAATAAATAATCAGATTTATATTTATCAATGATTATGTTTACATATACTCCAGTAATCGAATTGTTTGCCTTAATCTGAATAAGACAATAATATGAAGGTGTTTACATGAGTTGCTTTTGAATGTTCCTTTCATGCTAGCTACAAATTCATATTTATCAGTCAAACTGCTGTAAACAGACACACACTTAACCAGCGCGTGCAGCCTCTCTCTATGTGTGTGCGCGACTTTGCATTGTTTCTCTATAGGCAGCTTTTCCATGCATTTTTACATCTCAGATTATGAAGTCGCAAAAGATATGTGGATGATTCATATTACTTACACCTGCATATTCCGGATATATGTGAAAGACGTCGTGTAACGTGTTAAGTTAAAAAAAAAAAAACAGGAGAGCTCGCCTAACTCGTGTAGCAGCAGAAAAATAAATCAAGGCTCACACAGGTCACATCCCACATCTTGTGTTTTATTCTTCTGTCAACAGTGTCACGATATATTACAGAAAATAACTTAATCCGAACATCAGAGAAAAAGAAATTCCCGCGCACGTTATACATGTCTACAGAAAGTTCACACATTCACGCACACACATAGACACACGCAATAAAAATGTCTCTTAAAGGAGCCGCACCCCATTTTCACTTGTTACAGACACTTGTCAGATTTTTTTTTAGAGAGCAGGCAGGAGGTTGACTGACTGTTAACCAGCAGAAAATCACGTGCTTGTACGGGCGTGACGTGGAGCCGATCCGCTAATCGCAGCACATTATGACGATGACGAATCAGAGTCACTTGAGGGCGAGCCTTTCAAAGGAACTAGGAAATATGTCAGTCGTTTTCATGTTAGCTGAGTAGCTGTGTATACTTAAAGTTAGATTTATGAAAAAATAACATGATTTCCTTCAAGTGAAACATGAGCATACATTGCTTTGCGTCTTATAAACACAACCAAGCCTTAAAATCACATTCTGGACCGTTCCTTTAAAAAAAAAAATTTCAGCATAGAAAGAAGCAGGATTTTCCCAGTATGGGTTGCGACTGGAAGGGCATCCGCTGCGTAAAACATATGCTGGATAGATTAGCGGTTTATTCTGCTGTAGTGACCCCAGATTAATAAAGGGATTAATAAAGGGATTAATAATGGGATTAATAAAGGGACTAAGCCAAAAAGAAAAAGAATGAAAGAACCAGGATTGTATAGCGTAGCATAGGACCCCCCCCCCCTCTCTTCTTTGTAGTGTGGGTGCTGAAGTTCAAACTCTGGATAACATTCACAGCTGCCTAGTTTTCAGTGTTTATTTTTACACTTTATCCCCTTCTGTTGAATAAGAACAACAAAAACAACAACATAAATCTGTTTAGAACGTGTTTTTGCTCGATTTGCCAATACGATTGCAATATGTTTGTCTAAATCCTTGTGAGAGGTTTATGTATTATATTCAGTTTAGCTTTTCCATATTACATTTTATTATATTTACAATTCTAACCTTTTCTAGATGTTCTATCTTTGCACTGAGCCAAGGTGCTTTAAGATTTATACAGCACATCCTGTTCTTTTTATCAATGAACCTGTAAAGATAAAGTGACCACTCACTGTATATTATTGACGGGGAGATTGTATTTTTGAAGGTTTCTGTACTAACTTACAACACACACGCAGGACAATGTCTTGTTTTTCGAAGGTTGAAACAAGCTCTGATTTCAATCTGTGGTTCTTCTGTTGTGGGATTCCTGAAGCAGATTTTGCCTTTTTGGTCAACAGCTGCAAAAAAAGACAGAAAAAACTTTATAAATAAGAGACTTTGCCATTTTAATTAAATTTCAGACTTCAGAAACAAGACCACTAAAGGCCCATTCACAAGATTAGGATTAAGATACAGTTCTAGAATTTGTTTTAAATGTGTACAAAAATCCACACAACAGCTATAACAAATAACAGCAACAAGAACAATTTTTGATCCAGTCAGAATTCAGTCTACTATAAAGAACTCAAGTATTGAAAGTGGTAGAAAAAGGTGGTACAAAACTGCAGCCAAAGTTTATCATAAACAGAACAACATATCATCTGCTAATATGATGCTGATATAGTTGTCATTATACATACCATCTTTGCGGGGAAAATGTAACACTGAAAAAAATCCATTACAATATGTGAAAATCCAGGACACACAGTACATTTGCTTAAAAATCTCAAATTGCATAGGATATTAATTTAATTGACTTAATTTGATAGTGTGTCATGTTGAGTACCTTTTTTAGCTTGAAGTCCATTATTTTGACTTATGTGTGAATCTAAAACGGGTTTAGTATGACATTAAAACAAACTATTGAGAACACAGTGTGTGTGCAGTATGTAGGATACTCACCATCTGGTGTAAAAGCTGACAGAAGCAAAAACAAACAGGACAAAATGATCATTTGATAAGATGCTGAGGACGGATCCATGATTGCTGAGGGTTTTCACTACTGATCTGCTGCTTCTGAGCCGCTGTTGTGCTTTATGTGCTCAGAAAAAGGGAAGTGTTGTATTTATTCATACTTCCTAAGAATACATTTTACTAGCTACATAGTTAATAATTCTGCAAGTCTGCATCTTTAAATACAATGTATTGCACCATCACGGGGGACTGGATGTATTTGTAAAAATCACTAAGGATAGGGTTTCTCTGAAACATTTTCTTCTGTGCAGAATATTTTTGGAGTTTCGTAACTAAAAACTTAAAATTAAAAAGAACACCTTTTTATTTGTATTTAATGTTTACAGTGCAGATCCAATTAGATCCACTTATTTGGTAAACAAAGTAACTGTCATATATATCCACTATAAGAAATATAAAATATGACTTTACAAACTGTATTGTAAATAAATCATATGAAGATTTTCATATTAGTCAATAATTTTACTGAAATGAATTTAAAAACTGAATAAATATAAGTTTACAGTCATTTACACAAGTAAATAAACAGACTCAATGATGGACTAAAAATCTGCAGATTTCTGCATGGGCAGATTCCGTGCTGGTCTAGTTTAAAGTAGTGTTTAAACCTTGATTTGGTTTGATTTATTTATTCTCAAACAGAAATATCATACATAAAAATTCTTTAACAAAAACAAAAAATTCAATAGGTCAAAAATGGAGCGGGATGAAGCACAAGCTTCTTATTTTTCCACCCCATTACCACACACATCCTTTGTCTATTAATTAAACATTTAAGTTACTTCTTTCTTTACTTTCTTTATCTCTTCTTTTTCATTGGACATATGAGCTTTGCATGAGACATATTTGATCCTTTTGGCATCTTTGACATAGTTTATGTTTGGTTCCATTTGTACATTTACATTTTACACCAAACATAAACACCAAAAATAAAAAAAATACAGTACTCCAAACAGCCATTAAATGAAATTTCATCATCCTTTTCTTATCTTATCCTTTTTCAATCACCTCTATTCATCCCCATATTCCTTTAGCAATATACATTTATCCACCTTTTTAAATTGATTAATATCCTGATATTGTTTGAGAATCTGTTGTAGACTATTTCATAATGTCTGACCACATACAGACATACACAAACCTTTTAAAGTTGTCCTTGTTTTCAACCTCTTAAAATTTTGTTTTTCTCTCAGATTATGTAATATCCCCGTGTCTTTCTTCAAAAAAAATGTTTGTATGCACCTCAGAATTCATTTATTCCTAGCTTTAAGAAATAGTGCTGTTTTAAATTTAACCAAATCATTGAACTGAAGTATCTTCAATTTAAAAAATAAAGCATTTGTATGCTCCAAATACCCTACATTTTCTTTCAGTCTAATTACTTTTCTCTGCACTCTACATAAGGATTGTAAGTTAGACATATGCAATTCTCCAAATTTAAACATAATAACTCCTATATGGAAACATAAGTGTGTTATATAATACATACATTGATTTGTCCAGGATAAATCTTGTTTAATACAGTATTGCTACAGTTTTTACCAATTTTGATATCACAATATTTATTTGCAGTTTCCAGCTAATTTTATGATTCAATACATCACCAAGAAACTTAATTGCATTTAATCTTTCTATAACTTCATTATCAATATGTAAATCTATATAATGACTACTCTTTAATTTCCCAAAATAACCTAACCTTTGTTTTACTTATATTTAATGACAATTTGTTTACCTCAAACCACAATTTTAATTTTTTTATTTCAAAATTTTTTAATCAACTCCATAAGTTTTGGTAAATTATCCCCAGAACAAAAGATACCTGTATCAGGTATATCTGCAAATAAAATAAACTTAAACAACTCTGATATCTTACACATATCATTAATGTAAATTATAAACAATATTGGACCTAAAACTGATCCTTGTGGTATGCCACAATTTACATTTAGATATGAAGATTTATGATTGCTAATTTCCAAAAACTTGCCTATTTTTTTTTTTATAACTGCTGATTAAATCCAAGGCTACTCCTATAATACCATACCTTTCTAATTTATTTACCAGTATATTATGATTTATTGTATTAAGTGCCTTCTTTAAATACAAATGATATTTTTTATACAAATTAAATTTTTTTATACAAATTTCAACTACTTTCTCCTTTTTATCTATTGTATTATTAATTTCCTCACTAATTTTTGTTAATCTATTGTTCCTGAAACCATATTGCTCTTCAGCTAAAAGGTTATGCATTCTAGGAAATTATTAAGCCTGTCAACAAAGAGTTTTTCCAATTTTTTTTTGAAAACTGACATAGTATGTAAATACAGTACCTACATAGCCTATAATTTGTAAAGTATTGTTTATCTCCAGATTTCTAAAGTGAAATTATCTTAGCAATTTAATTTTATCTGGAAATTTACCGGATTGAAAAGATCTATTACAAATATAGGTTAATGGTTCTACAATGTCTTTAATCACTTTCTTAATTATACTCATATCAATATTATTTCAATCCATGCACGATTTATTTTTACAGTTCTTTACAACACCTACAGTATATTTCTTTTTTATCTACTACTTAGAGAGTTGGACGTGTGATCGGAAGGTTCTTAAGAATAACGATAACTCATGGGTTAAGCGCAGTGTGAAAGCATTTATATCTTCTACTGTGTTCCACAGAAGACAGAAGCCCAAATTGGTTTTGAACAATTGGAGAAAAGTAAATAATGACACAGTTTTCATTTTTGGATAAACTATCTATTTAAGCTCCTTAACCCTAATAAAAATGCAGACTTCCCGAGAGTGAGGAAAGATTCCAATATAGCAAGCATTTTTGGGGCTTATTCTGGCTAAAATTCAACATTGATAGAAAGTGAAGTGAAAGTCATGACATAGCCAAGTATTGTGACACTTACTCTGAATTTATGCTCTGCATTTAACCCATTCAAGTTAACACACAATAGTGAACACACACACACACACACACACACTATGAATACACACCCGGAGCAGTGGTCAGCCATTGTTGCCGCGTCCAGGGAGCACTGGCTTTCTCAAGGGACTCAGCTTGGCCAATTGTTGGCTGGAGCAGGACCTTCCGATCACAAGTCCAATTCTCTAACCATTAGGTCACAGCTGCCCTAGAAAATATAATGGACCAGGGCTGTGCCAACCCTACAAAACCCTTCTTGCCGACTGATGTCTTTTTCTGCTGTAGTACAAAAAGCAGGTCAGCTCTCAGTGTAGTTGTGAGTTTTTTTTTGCCTTTTGGTGTACACTGTAAAAAATTCCTGAGTTCCACACAATTCCTTCATGTTGTACCAACAGAAATCCGTTAAGAAAACGTAATTGTTTTCACAAATTTAAGTGGGTTTAACATAAAGCAATTAAGTAGTTCCCAAAAAACAACTGAAAAATTGTGTTGATTCAGCACATTTGAAATAAGTAGCTTGAACAAACAGCAAACATATTTTTGAGTGTACATATGTTAAATAAAATATTTATCTTGAGTTTAAAATTGTTTGATGATTATTCTCATCAGGATGTTTGCAGGGTTAAGCAGTCATAAATTGCTTTTGGTAGTATATTAGATAATATTCCACTGTAAAATGTCTGAAATTGTATAAAGGTTTAGAATGAGCAGGGTACGAGTGGTTTAGTCTGTAAAGTGTAGTGACATCTGATCTGCACCAGATTTTAAGAGATTTTTTAAAATTATTACATTCAGTCATTTTCTTTTCGGCTTAGTCCCTTTATTAATCTGGGGTCGCCACAGAAGAATGAACCGCCAACTTATCCAGCAAATATTTTACGCAGCAGATGCCCTTTCAGCCACAACCCATCACTGGGAAACATCTATACACATTCACACACACACACACTATGGTCATTTTTAGTATACCCAATTCACCTGTACCGCATGTCTTTGGACTGGAACCCAGGGCACCCGGAGGAAACCTACGCAAACATGGGGAGAACATGCCAACTGACCCAGCCGAGGCTCGAACCAGCAACCTTCTTGCTGTGAGGCGAACGTGTTACCCACTCCCCCACCGCGTTGCCCGATAAAATGAACAAAAAAATAATTTTTTTTATAATATGCTTTTCCAAATTCTGGAAGTATTCCTATTTCAGAATAATTCAGAGACAGAACAATTCACTGACCCTTTTCAAGATCACGATTCATGTGACTGAAGTCCATGATGTTCAGCTGTTAACCTTTTGTCTCAGAACATGTTTACATATTTATTTTGTTTTTCCATTTATAAAGTTAACTGTATATACTACATTTATTTCACAATTGTTAAGTTTTGTTGTTTGGTGTGGCACTGCTATTAATTGAAAATGTCATGAACAATTCATGAAGAAAAAAAGTTATAATTTATATAATTAATGTAATTTCATATAAAACACTGTAGACCATTTTGAGGGGGTGTTTACAATAGCAATAGTCCTGATGTATTTCCTGTTTTACGTTTTGAATTTCCATAGCTTTTGAGGGTCCAAAAGAACTTCCACATATTGATAAATAATGTTACGATAGTTGTTATAACATCAAGGTATGATTGAGTCTGTTACAGTAATGAAATAGTTTGACAACAATTAAAAAATGTTTATGGGCTAATGACACCACCACATTGAAATGGTCTATATGAAGATAAGTGTCTCACGCTACATGTATTTGTATATTAATAAATATACAAGTTCTTTTTCTGAATTTTTGCTGTCACACCATAGACCATTTACAGGTCAGTAAAAAATGTAAAACGATAAAGTTAGTGGCCCCTTTTATTTTCGCAAATATCAGACTTCGAACTACAGTTGAAGTCAGAATTATTAGCCCCCCTAAATTATAAGCCCCCAACACATTTCTAAACATAATAGTTTTAATAACTAATCTCTAATAACTGTTTAATTTTATCTTTGCCATGATGACAGTAAATAATAATTTACTAGATATTTTTCAAGACACTTCTATACACCTTCTATAAGTGACGTTTAAAGACTTTACTAGGGTAATTAAGTTAACTAGGCAGTTTAGGGTAGTTAGGCAAGTTATTTATAACGATGGTTTGTTCTGTAGACTATTGGGGAAAAAAAACTAGCTTAACATGGCAGATAATTTTTTATCCATAAAATGGTGTTTAAAAAATTAAAAACTGCTTTTATTCTAGATCAAATAAAACAAATAAGACTTTATCCAGAAGAAAAAAAAATGTTATCAGACATACTGTGAAAATTTCTTTGCTCTGTTAAACATCATTTGGGAAATATATAAAAAAAAAAATTAAAGAGGGTCTAATAATTTTGACTTCTACTGTACATGTTTTTTTTTAATCTGGTGAATGTTTGAGTTTGTAATCCTATAAATCTGGAAGTACTGTACATGTCTCGCATGATCATCCACATGATCAGTCAGATGATAATATTTCTATGTGGGATCATCTAATCTAGCCAATCTTCTTTAGAATCTGGTGTGGTGATGAATGGTCATTAAATCATCACAATGTGGGTTTTTTTAGGCTGGTGGTCAGAGAAAAACACTGGTATTCCGGATATAGAGTTCCAAACTACAACTGTAAATGGTCACTTAAAAATCTGTTAGAAATCTCCTTGAATAAATCACTTGAATATGGCTAAATTACATGTTAGCTGAATGTATAGCAGATTATTTCTGTTAAAAGAAGCATTCAATTCAATTCATCTTTATTTCTATAGCGCTTTTACCATGTAAATCGTGTCAATTCAGCTTAACATAGAAGTTCTAGTAAATTGAAATTGAAATCATGTACTACAGGATTGTATAGCACAGAGTAGGTGAAAAAAAAACAGTTTTTGGTGAGGATGGTAAAGTTCACAGATGTCCAGTTTCCATGTGTTTCTTAAGCCTCCCCTCTACACGTTACCCCTTTCTGTTGAATAAGAAAAGAAGAAAAAACATTAAAGTAGTAACATTTGACTTGCAATTGCAATATACAGTTGAAGTCAGAATTATTAGCCCCCCTGTTTATTTTTTTCCCCAATTTCTGTTTTACGGAGAGAAGTTTTCAACACATTTTTAAACATTTTGATAAATCATCTCTAATAATTGATTTATCTTATCTTTGCCATGATGACAGTAAATTATATTTAAAATATTATAATAATATTTTTCAAGACACTTCTATACAGCTTAAAGTGACATTTGAAGGCTTAACTTGGTTTAATAGGTTAACTAGGCGGGTTAGGTTAATTAGGCAAGTCATTGTATATCGAAAAAATATATATCTTAAAAGAACTAATAATATTGTTCCTAAAATTGTGTTTCAAGAAGAAAAAATATTATCAGACATACTGTGAAAATGTCCTTGCCCTGTTAAACATAATTTGGGAAATATTTAAAAAACAAGAAAAACAATTTAAAGAGGGGCTCATAATTCTGACTCTTGTATTACTCAATGAATCTTTTCCGTATTACTCATATTAAAAATCCCAGGTTTAAAAAAAAAATGTAATCTATAAATTCTAACCTCTTTTAGACGATATAGCCTTTCAGCAAGCCATGAAGCATTAGGATCTATACATTTCATCCTGTTCGATGCATCAACAAACCTGTAAAGATAGAGTTGAATACATTTAGAGCACTCACAGCATATCATTGACAGGGATTTCATAAGCAGATGTATTTTACACTTACAGCACACACTTAAGACAATTATTGGTTTTTGGAAGGTTGTAACAACGTTTAATGTTAGCCTTTGGTTCTTTTGTTGTCAGCACTTTGAAGCAAACTCCGGGTCTATTATCAACTGCAAAAGAGACAGAAAACCTTCAGTTGCATTAACGACAAGGCAGATTAGAGTAAAGATAAAGTAAAATTTGTTTAATTCAGATTTTAAAAAGTCTATGTCATTAACAAAACAATATCACTGGAATCTCTGTAAGAAGAATGATGTTGTAGTATGAATTATTATTGCTCCTGAATTATTAGCCCTCTTGCATATTTTTCCCTCGATTTCTGTTTAACAAAAATAAGATTTTTTCAACACATTTCTAAACATAATAGTTTTAATAACTCACTTTTAATAACTGATTTTCTTGCCACGATGGCAGTACATACAAATTTACTAGATATTAGAGGTCTGCAGCAGGTGTATCTCTGGTGTAATTTCAATGAGAGTAAGCGGGCTAACAATATAGCATTCCCGAGTCCCGACGTTATTTCAGAACAGCCAGTGCTCTCGACTGATAGACATGCTGAACACATGACCAGTGTTTTCTGTCCTTCCGCTTGCATTAGAAAACAGTCAGTGTACTTTTTATGCATCTGAAAATGGAAAAAAGTTTACCCTAAAGTAAAACCCTAAAGTTTTACCCTTTAGCAGTCACTAGACTGGAACATCATTAAGGTGGCACTCATAGTTCATCACAAAGGGACAAACAAAACTGACATTTAGCCTACAATCCTTGCACAACCTACAGTTTTATCTGTTATCTCTGATTTTTGGTAGTATCCAATTTAAATGTGAGATTTTGGAAAACAGATCAAAATTCAGTAGGAACAGTCGGGTAGAAAATTATTCTAAGCAGGCAGTGGGTGAACAAAGGCTGAATATAAGGCGGGATCAGTCAGGTGCAGAATAAAACCTTGAGGGAGCAGGACTAAAAAATGTGTCCTGCGTAGACCTCAACTAGATATTTTTCAAGGTACTAGTATTCAGCTTCAAGTGCAATTAAAAAACTTAACTAGGTCAATTAGGTAAGTTAGAGTAATTAGGCAAGCCATCGAATAACAGTGGTTTGTTCTGCAGACCATCAACACAGTTGAAGTCAGAATTATTATTACTGTCATCATGACAAAGATAAAATAAATCAGTTATTGGAAATGAGTTATTAAAACTATTATGTTTAGAAATGTGTTGAAATAATCTTTAAGAAATTGGGAAAAAAATAAACAAACAGGGGGCTAATAATTCTGACTTCAACTGTGTGTATGTGTTTGTGTGTGTGTGTGTATATATATATATATATATATATATATATATATATATATATATATATATATATATATATATATATATATATATATATATATATATATATATAGCTTAAGGGGGCTAATAACATTGGCCTTAAAATGGTTTTTAAAAATTTTAAAACTGCTTTCATGTAGCCGAAATATAACAAATAAGACTTTCTCCAGAAGAAAAAAATATTATAGGAAATACTGATATAGTTGTGATTATAGTTATCATCATACTTACAATTCTTGTCGGTACTGCTCCAACCTTCTGACACTGAAATAAAAACTGTTAAAATAGAGTATGTGAGAATCAGTGGTGTAAAGTAACAAATTTCAAATACGCAAATGACTGTAATTGAGTCGTTTTTCTCAGAAATTGCAATTTACTAAGTAGTTATAAAAATGTGCACTTTTACTTTCCCGTGAGTACATTTTTTAGTGCAGTATCAGCACTTTTACTCCATTACTTCCCTTCTACCTTTAGTCATTACTTTATTTTTTCCTGTTTTTGGGGATTAGAAAAGGCAGTCCTGTGATTCCTGTCTAATCAAATCACACATAGAAAGTAAATGGCATCAAACTAAACTACCCGAAGACATGGGATATTTATAAATGCAGCTAATTGTTTGGAAGTATTGAAAGTGTCCAAGAAGATGTTCTAAATCTTTACACACAATGACCCACAGTTTTTTTAGACTGCCAATGATGGCACTGATGAGAAGACGACGGATGTTTACTGTAGCACGGCATAATTTTGCCAAGTATGATGCGATCCTTAACATCTATGTTGATCCTGGAACATCATTGTTGTTCGAAAATGTAATCCATACCTATTCCCTACCACATAACTGTAAATCCCAAAATCAGAGGGGAATGTTATTTGGATAACAATCACGTTGGAGTGTGTAAACCTATAATCATATGTGTTAACTTAACATAAACGGTAAACATATCCTTTAATTCTGATTGGCTGATTGAAATGTTGTTTCATTAGATGTTAATCCAGGAATATGACCTACTTGGTCAAATCAGGTTGGTTGTTTAACTGTATGATGACCGGAACGACCTTAAACAATAACTAAATGCACTACGGAATGTTACATTTACACTCACACTCACACAAATTACATGTAATCAGCTTTTCACAGTGTAATACTCACTACTCTTGAGTACTTTTAAAGCAGAACACTATTTATTCAAAACAGTAAATGAATACTCACCTACTGATGTAAAAGCATACAGGAGCAAAAGCAAATGAGACGAAATGACCATTTGATGAGATACAGAGGACAGATGCATGTTTGCTGAAGGATTTCACAAATGATCCGCTGCTTCTGAGCTGCTGCTGCTTTTTATGTGCTCAGAAGAAGGAGGTGTCTTTGTTCATACTTCAAAAGATTAAGGCGATTTCTCTGAAATTCGTGTTTGGGCAAGCTTCAAGTTTAAACATGTGAAAGAAATAAAGGAATGCGGGGATGTTTGAATATCATAGGCTGTACAGTATGACACAAGTTTTTAAAAGAGAAAAATAAAAACAGTTTTACTGTGTTTTGTCTAGTGTGATATTAAGCCACAGCTTAATTACTTTAAATGCAATTGCAATATGTTTCAAAGGGAGAAAGAATTTGCAGGCTTTGCACTGGCCTGTTCTTGTTGTATTGAAAAAAGTGACAGTATGTACAGTGGATCCGGAAAGTATTCATAGCGCTTCACTTTTTATGTTACAGCCTTATTCCAAAATCAATTGAATCTCTATTTCCACTGATCATTCTTAAGATGTTTTGCCAGCTTAACTGGATCTCAACTGTGGTAAATTCAGTTGATTGGACGTGATTGGAAAAGGCATACACCTGTCTATATGAGGTCCCAGGGTTGACAGTGCATATCAAAGCACAAATCAAGCATGATGACAGGATTGTCTTGAGGCACAAGGCTGGGGAAGATTACAGAAAAAATATTGCTGCTCTGAAAGTTCCATTGAGCACAGTGGCCTCCATCATCCATAAGTGGAAAATGTTTGGAACCACCAGGACTTTTCCTAGAGCTGGCCGGCCATCAAAGCTGAGTATCAGGGGAGAAGGGCCTTAGTCAGGTAGGTGATCAATAACCTGATGGTCACTCTGTCTGAGCTCCAGCGTTCTTCTGTGGAGAGAGGAGAACCTTACAAAAAGACAACCACCTGTTCAGCAATCAGGCCTGTTTGCTGGAGTGGCCAGACGGAAGCCAGTCCTCGCCTGGAATTTGCCAAAAGGCATCTGAAGGACTCTCAGACCATAAGAAACCAAATTCTCTGGTCTGATGAGACTAAAATTGAACTCTTTGGAGTGAATGCCAGGTGTTACGTTTGGCGGAAACCAGGCACCGCTCATCACCAGACCTAAATCCTATTGAACATCTCTGGAGAGACCTGAAAATGGCTGTACACCCTTACTTCCCACCCAACCTGAGAGAGCTTGAGAGGTACTGCAAAGAGGAATGGGCAAAAATTCCCAAATTCCCCAGCTTGTGGAATCCTATACAAAAAGACTTGAGGCTGTAATTGCTGTCAAAGGTGCATCAACAAAGTATTGCGCAAGGCTGTGAATACTTATGTACATGTGATTTTATTTTATTATTTTTTTTAAATATGCCTTTTATTGTTAATAAATTTGCAGCAATTTTAAAAAAATAATTTTCCACATTGTCCTTATGGGGTATTGTGTGTAGAATTTTAAGGAATAAAATTAATTTAATCCATTTTGGAATAAGGCTGTAACATTAAAAAAAAAAATGTGGAAAAAGTGAAGCGCTATGAATACTTCCAGATGCACTGTATGTACAGTTGAAGAACTAATAGCCCTCCTGTATTTTCCCCCCAATTTCTGTTTGTAAGGGACCGAGGGGCAAAGGAAACAGAAAACAAGCCAAAAATCCTCCATTTGAGATTTATTCTCCATAAATAGGACATAAGTCCTCAAAATAACACAGTCAAACAAAAAAATAAAATAACGAACCATAAGGCCACCATAACCAACCAACACAAAATGGCCCACTACAATTCTTCTTCTTCTTCTTCTTCTTCTTCTTCTTTGCTGTTTTATGGCAGTCGGCAACCAACTTTTGGTGCATTACCGCCACCTACTGTACTGGAGTGTGAGCCTGAGTTTGCTACCTCCCGGAGAAAGAAAAAAAAATAAATAATTTTTTTTTCCTATTAACATTTACCTACATCTTTATTCTTTTAAATCCTGTTAATTAATCCTGTTTTCCTTTGATATTTCACTTAACTTTCATTGTTATCGTTTCCAAGTATAATTTTTACGCTGATTTCTGAAAAGTTTTGTTTTATAATTTCTTTCTTTAATATTTCTCTTTCTATTATGAATTTCTTGCAGTAACATAAAACATGTTCAACTGATTCCTCCTCCTGACAATTATCACACAATCCAGTTGGATGTTTTCCTATTAAATGTAATGTTTTATTTAAGCCTGTGTGTCCCATTTTTAACCGTGTTATTATTCCTTCTATTTTATTGTTTCCTTTACCTTTCCTCCAATTTCATACTTTCTCTTGTAATCTATAGTAATGTCTTCCCGTTATATCCCTATCCCAATTATACTGCCACTGTTTTAATATATCCTTCTTCACTATCACTTTTGCTTCTGTTTTACTTAACAAGATATTCATAATTTCGTCTAGTTTGCATGCTTCTTTAGCTAAAAAATCTGCTGTTTCATTTCCTTTAATTCCTATATGTGCTGGAATCCACATAAATACTATTCTAATATTTGCTCTCTGAAGTCTAAATAAAATTTCATATATGCAATCCTGTCTGTTCTTTGATGTCATTGACTTGATTGAACTTAATGCTGAATAGAAATCTGAACATATAGCTACTTTCTTTAATCCACTGTCCTCCATCCAATAAAGCGCAGCAATTATAGCCATCAGTTCTACTGTATATATTGTTAGGTAATCTGTTGTTCTTTTCTTAATTGATATGTCTAATTTTGGTACAAATACACCAAACCCTGTTCTGCCCAAATCCAAATTTACTGACTTATATGTGTATACTTCAGTATATTCTTTATATTTTGTCATAATTTTATCTTCAATTATTCCAGACATATTAGCGATGTTTCTATAGTCCTGGCTATTGCTTAGTAATTCCAAATCAACTAATCCTAAAGGATATAACCATGGTGGTGTTGTTGTTGCTATTGGTACTGTTTTGTTAAAGCCTTTATCAATTAATTCCATCTCTTTAGCTACTTCCAGACCCACTACAATGAACAACAGCCAGGCTTATAAAGAAAGGGATGAGCTCATTTAAATTACAAAGGGGTAAAGACAAAAATTCACATTACTACATACAACACCAAAACACAATAAATGCAATCATAACATTACCCCAAAAATAATAAAATCAAACATTAACCAATACAAACAAATTAACAAAATCAATACGTAAATATTTGAACAAAGAGGATATCTAAAACACCTTCTCCCCCTGCATCATTCAAGCAGTTGGTTTGCCCAGCCGGAACCATTTTGGATAAATCCGGCGTTCCCGCCCAGACTCCAATCTTTGCCGCACCGGAAACCACCCGGCCGCCACTTCCTGTCTCCAGTGCACCACTCGGTAACTCAAAAAGAAACAAACATTAATCATTCAACGAAACTAATTTGTGTGCACTCCAAATTAAGTAGTAACAAATATGTATGGTTTCTATAAATAAAGTATAAGAAAGAAACTTATGTATTGTGATTTGTATAATGGGTACAGAGAAAGAAACTATAAAATGAAAAGCCATGTCTGCATAGTTGTGAATATGGTTGCGTGCGTGTGTGCAAAAATATACGCACGCTGTTACACAGAACTGTGAGGCCAACCTTTTAGGCCGTCACACTGTTTATGTTAACGTTAATGGAAAAATAAAATTCAGCACATTTCTAAACATAAGAGTTTTAATGACTCATTTCTAATAATTGATTTATTTTCACCTTGCCATGATGACAGTACATAATATTTAAGTAGATGTTTTTCAAGATGCTAATATTCAGCTTAAAGTGACATTTAAAGACATGTTGACGAAGAAGATTAACAGTTAAAAATAAAAGTCTGGTGTGTCAGATGAAGATGGAGGACTCAATAAAAAATGAAGAAAATGTACTATTCAGAGCTGATCACAGACCTGTAGAACCGACCCCTTGGACGCATATACCCAGCAAGAGAACAATCTGTTATAAAAGCTCAAGGTGGTTTCTTGGTATTCTCAGCTGTCTCAGCTCAAACTGGTTCAAAGCTGGTATAATCAACATTCAGACTGCTATATTCTTATTACACAAAGTTCATCTTGAATAAAAAGGAAAATCCTTTTAAACAGAATTAACACTTAAGATAGTTAGAGATAGATTTGTGAAGCAGCTTTCTATGAGCTGCATGCTGCAGACACGGTCGGTGTGAAAGGCAAACGCCTGCGTACTGCTTCTGCTCTCCATATGCGCTACTCATGCCCTGCTTGCGCTTGTATTGTGAAACAGGTGTAACTTTTTATTCATATCCCTGCAACAAAGTCACTTCAAAGTGTCAATTTCTTCCAGAATTTTAAACATAGGACATCATTTCCAGCAAAATGTGCTCTCATGCTTGAAGCCATTCTCATTTGTTTGTCTTCAAACATCTGACAACTGCTGTGTGTGTAGGGAAAAGAACTAAAATGGTTATAGTTTTATTGCAGGGTTTACATGTCTGTGTCGTATTTTAACAATATGACTAGTATAGGCATACTCCACATGTTTTTATTTGATTTCTGTTGACTTTAGTTGGATTAAGGTAATCAAAAATCGCTGACATGTTAGACTCTTAATCAGAGTATTGCCTTAATCGTATTCAAAAGAGTATTGGTGTCTGTAAACGGAATATTGACTGTCTTTTCCCCTTGTTATCTTTTCTGCTTGATTGGCCTTATCATTGACAGCTGTAAAAAAAGCCCTTGTGCTTCAGTCTTTGTCAATTGTTGAATGTGGTCTGTTGCTCTCTGTGGATTATGCTGTATTGCGTTTTTTCTTTTTTTTTTTGCTCTTAAACACTTTACTGCATGTGGATTTGCCTCCTTGTAACAACATGAAATGAAGATCTCATGCTTGCTTATGACAATTGTCATTACGTCATTAGCTCAGTAGTCATTTTAAAGGCAAATATTGTTTGAGATGTCTATGTTATGACAAGTTGTCATAAATCTGTCATAAACATGATTGCCATGGTGTCATTAGCCCCTTTCACACAGTGATACCGGTAAATATCTGGAAAATTTCC